TCCGATGCGGTGCCCCGCTTTGGCCACTGGGAAGCCATAACTGAGAGCATCCGCCAATGCTGTCGATGACCAGCGCAAGTGGCCAGCGATCTGGCAGTGCAGCACCACCACCTTCAGCTTCCTGTCCCGGCACTTCCCAAAAGAAGACAGAGAAGGCTCAGCTCTCCCATGCATCCTCGGATCCCTCAGGCGGACGCCGGAAAAATGTCAAAGGCCAGCAAACAAAGACCCGCATGCCGCTGATAACTCACGGGCAAATAACCCAGCAAGGAACACACGTAAATCAGCACCCCCCCTCTCCCGCAGAAAGCCAACAAAAAGCATCAAAGAACTCACGTCCGAACGAGCAACCGACCGAAACGACACGTCTACGAACAACTGGCATACCCACACACCACCAATGGACGCCCATAAAAAAAACCGACCGCACGATTTCCCTCGACACCGAACAATGAGGTGTCCTAGAGGGATTGGCCGAGCGCCAGGAAGGCCCATGCACGAAATGCGGTAAATATTACAGTAATGAGGGGCAATTACAATAACTCGGCTCGGCTCGTCTCATACACGAGCCGAAAAAATTTTTCTCTCGCGGCGGCAGGTAGGGCTGCCTTACGGTGGATGGCGGCAGCTTGAATGTGGGAGGTCGAAGGGGAGAGGGTGTATGTGGCCGCTTTCGTTCGAGGCAGAGAGGGAACTAGAATAGGTGCATATAAAAACTAAATGGAGATTCTTTGCCGATGGACTAAGTAACGTACATTTGAGGAGAGAGGGGAGCGGTGAAGAAAGGAAAGGATGAGGAAGTTTGCTCCTTTTTATGAAACTGATGCTTAAGCAAAGCTGTTCCACCAAAACCCGTCATTAGGCTTCTTTATTTATGAAATTGATTCTTGGATAAAGTTGTTCCATAAAAAGCCCTATTTATGGAACTGATGCTTAAGTAAAGCTCCATAAAAGCCTGTCATTAGGCTTTTTTATTTATGAAATTGATGCTCAGGTAAAGTTGTTCCACAAAAAGCCCTATTTATGAAACTAATGCTTAGGTAAAGCTCCACAAAAACCTGTCAATAAGCTTCTTTATTTATGGAATTGATGCCTAAGTTAAGCTGTTCCACAAAACCATCGTTAGGCTTGTTATGAAATTAATGCTTAGGTAAAACTGTTCCACAAAAACCCGTCATCAGACTTTTCTATTTATGAAACTGATGCTTAGGTAAAGCTGAGAGCGAATAAGTTCCATGAAGTGGGCAAAAACAGGGCAGAATGGATGCCTGGGAATGAAGTCTGTCTTTGCTCCTATGAGATTTTAAAGACAAAAAAACAAAGATATAAATGTTGTCCACAGTTGCGAGCTGCAAGAGGCAACACTTTGGAATTGTCTGCAATTCTTGTGTAATCCAACTGGACTCATTTGCACTCGCTTCATCGAAGCATAAGCTTTAGTAAATACCGTCGAAATTATTTGTCCTCAGCTTCACCTACGCATAAATTTCAGTAAACCCTATCGAACTTATTTGCCCTCAAATTCACCTAAGCATAAGTTTCAGTAAATCCTATCGAATTTATTTGCCATCAACCTCACCTAAGCATAAGTTTCAGTAAAACATGTAGAAAATATTTGCCCTTCGCTTAACTCAGGCATAAGCTTCAGTAAATCCTGTCAAAATTACTTCCCCTCAGCTTCACCTACGCATAAGTTTCAGTAAATGAATTCCTTTTATTCACAAATTCGGGTTTGTTTTATTTTGTAGTGTCGTGTTGGTTTATTTTCGTCTTTACTGCTACCTGCATTTCTTGCTTTGAAATCCTGACTAGCACCCTTCTTTCCCTCCTGTATCCTGTCCCCAATCCCTGCCTCCAGAACTGCATCGAGACACCCATCACCTACAACTATTATCACCGTTCCTAACCAGCAACT